TTAGGTATTATTTTCTATGCTAAAATTAACCTTTAACAAATCTGAACTTAATATTATACTATCATTGCACACAATAAGTTATAAAATAAGTTTAATCAAGTGCAATATATGTACCTTGGCTAATATGGTATATACATATATCTTTAACAACCAGTGAGAATACAAATAGTAAAAATAAAATTTTTATTTATGTAAAATCTTAATGAATAGAATAAAAAGATAAAATAAAATAATAAAAAAAGAAAAAAAAAAACCTAATAACAAATTATATAAAAAAAAAGATAGAATTAAAAAAAAATTCTACAAAGAAATATTATGGGCAATCCTACGCAGGAATTCCATGAGCGTCCTATTGTTATGATCATTAAATATTGATTGAATGCGTTCTTCATGTTCAATAGTTTGTCACCTTTGTGCTAGTCTTGGCGCACCTCTTAAGATCGCTTCAATATTGAGCTCAATTTGGTTCTGTTCTTTCTGTAGTTCTTTGATTATTCTAAAAACACTAATATGAGCAGAGCTTACTAATGTCTCCCACTGCCTATGCTATGCCTCGACTGAATTCTGAGTCCTAGGGTATGCGAATTCGACGGTATTAGCCACTGACCAGAAATCAGGAGGAAATAATAGTTTAGATCTAATCATATTACCGTTCCTATATATAGATTGTAATTATAGTAAGTTATTGTAATTTTGGAATTATGTTAAATAAGTAAATGGGTGTTGCAGAGTAAAAACATATAAGTAAATATTTATGTTATTACTGTAGCAGATGCTACAGTGATAACCTAAATATTTACTTACATGTTTTTACTCTGCAGTAAGTAAAATCACATAAAACGTAAAATTGTATCGTGTCAAGTGATGTTCTCAGATAATTATATCGTGGGGTTAAAAAACAAAAAACCAAAAACAAAAAAAAGTAAAATTGTAACACAACCTACCTATATGTACGCCTAATTTTTCCATGTACATAATAATTCTCAAACTACTGCATGACCTCATGGGCTTCAGATAGAATAATAGAATTCAATTCGTCGAATGCATCTGGTATTTCATTATATGGCAAAAACGCGAGAGCAGGAATATGCCTTATTAGTAAACTAAAGGGTTCGTTAGTATCATAACGTGAAGAAAGCCCGCAGTTTTGAACTTTATGATAAACACTTTGAGCTAGATGGAAGTGGCACCCCTTACTTTGGACATTATCGAACTCCAATTGAACGGCGTTTATAGCAGTACTCTCAAAATCTGTTAAGATTATTTGAGGCTGCAAATCAATATTATACACTTCCCCAAAATCTATTAGTTTTTGAAATAATCTTCTATATGATTCTTCTGACTTATTAGTCATTAAACAAAATACTGGAGGCATAACCCTAGAATTATCTCTCCCGCCAACACACCTTAAAACAGACTATTATAAATAAAGATTAAGAAAAAATTTAAAAATTAAAAATCAAATTAAATTAAATTTTATTATCAATTTTTTTTTAATTTTTATTAATTTTTTTTTTTTTATAAATTAAAAAATTAAAGATTAAAAAAAAAAAATTAATAAAATTAAAAATAATTTAATTTAATTTAATAAAAAAAAATTAAATTAATAAAATTAAAAAT